AAATCCTTAAAGCCTTGTCGTTTCAGTCCTGATCAGCAAAAGTCTATTAAGGGTTACCAGAAATAACAACATATCTATTTTAACCTTCATCAGATAAACCAACTTTATATTCCTTCCTTTTACTTCTGACAATCTTGATCTTTAGTCCTTTCAAATAATGTCCTAGAACTTAATTTCTTTTCATTTTTCTTTGTATTTTTTAAAGATTTAACAAGTCTCTTTTGTAAATCCAATATAGGAAGATTATCCAGGATACTCTCTTGCTTTATTATTTGTATACCTCTTTTAATTATTAAGACATCAGCCGGTTTCTTTTGTTTGCCCAGTGTAACATCTTTTTCCACATCATTCTTGTAGCTTGTCATTTTTAAATCCACTTTCAGATCAATCTTTTTCCACATCATTCTTGTAGCTTGTCATTTTTAAATCCACTTTCAGATCAATCTTTTTCCACATCATTCTTGTAGCTTGTCATTTTTAAATCCACTTTCAGATCAGTCTCAGTCTTTGTCAAGTAAAACTTGTTCCTCTTCCATAACATCTTTTAAACACAGCCTATCTATAGAGGCAAACACTCTTAAAATTAACTTCTGGGTCCATTATTGAAAAATATCCTTCAATATGTCCAATGTTAAAATATTTTGCTCCATCCTGTATTTGTAAATCAAATGTAAGTGTTCCTCTCCTTTAATTGTAATCTTTAGTTCCTTCTACTTCCCTCTAATGTCCAACCTTCAAAGTCCCATCCTATCATGTTGTTTTTTTAAGGAATTCAAAATAAAAGTATTTTCCCATGGGAAAGATTCTTATAATTAATTCCCAAATCTTATTTCAAATTTATCTGGACCCCTAGTCCTTTTGTAACTTTGTAAAATCACCCCATTTTTTGTTTATTCTAGAAAAAAAATGTTTAAGTCCTTAAACTTGTATTTAAAACTTCTTTCACTAAGGATTGAAGGAAACTCACCCACTGCTGTAAAACTTGTTGATCCAAAGGTTCCTAATACCTGAAAAGCAGCTAACAAGCAATTGCTGAAAGTGATTAGAAAATGAAGTACACGGAGCCAGTGTCGTTAAAGATGCCGACCGTGGGTTGAGCAAGATGGCTATTCCCTCGTCTCCCAGCTGGAGACTGCTGTCTTGTGGTCTCCTCACAAGGAGCAACTGAATGGAACACTTGTGGGTTGATCTCAAGTCCTCTCCTTGTCCTTTAGGCTTTTCGTCTAAGAGTTTTTAGTGGAGCTGTCTTCAGTTTACCATTTCTTCCCCGGAAGTCTGCTTAGCAAAATATCCTCATATGGTTTTTATAATAAACATTTCAAAAGAGTGCTAAACACATGTGTTTAAGGAGTCCACATAAAATTTGACAAGCATTTCACAGATCACTAGCCAAACATTATATGAACATATTCCTGTGCAGAAGCCAGATGTCTGGCCTCTCCTTGGCCTAAGCCAAAAGGGCTATGAAGGACAGCGGCCAGTGACCCAGAGGGAGAGGGCATAGCATAAGCTATAAGCATAAGCAGCAGCTTAGAGTGGCCAGCAGGAATCACTTTGGCAGATCCAGCTCCTTGACCACTAACATCTATGAATTCCTACCACAACCTAAATGACACCAACTCATACTTTCTGCACACATTTTAGTCTTTTTGTTTATAATTAAACCTATAAATTCCCTGCATGTATTTAGCAATACCACTTCATAAGGCCATATTATCTTCATTCAGACCTTGCATTCTGCCCCTTTCTCTTAGTGTCATAAACATACATACACATTTAAATTTAAACTATTCTCTCAAGCTCCTTACCATGTACTCCTTTCAGTAACCCGTCATTACTCTCTTTATTAGCATTTTACTTCCTGCATTCCTTTCATACCAATTACCACTCCTCCCTGTTTTGGCTCCAGCCTTTTTAAAGATTTCTAATGAGAGAGCCAATTTGGCGTAGTGGTTAAAGACGCTGGGCTAGAAACCAAGAAACCATGAGTTCTAGTCCTGCTTTAGGCACAAGGCCAGCTGGGTGACTTTGGGCTGGTCATTCTTTCTCAGTCCTGGGAAGAAAATAATGGCAAACTACTTCTGAAAAGTGTTGCCATGCAATTACCAGGAATTAAGATTGACTTGAAGGCACACTCACACACAAAAAAGTGGGGCAGGGAAAAGAGAGGAGAGCAGAGCTCAATTATGTAGAGAAAAAAAATCAGAATGTAAGGCTTGGAAGGTATCTTTGAGATTATTTGGTTCAACTTCCTGCCCAATGCAAGAATCCACAGCCACAGCCATCCCTTTAGATGGCTTCTCAAGCTCTGTTTAAATATTTCAACTGGACTTTTCAACTATTTCAAATATGCCTCCCACCTTTCTTTCAAGGCAGTCAACTAAAATCTGCCTCTTTACCATTCAAGCCCATTGGTTCTTGTCTTCTACATGGCAGCCCTTCAGACACTTGAAGGTAGTTGCAAAGTCCCCCTGCAGTCTTTTCCAGGCTAAAGTTATCCAGTGCCTCCAGCTGTTTCTTCTATGTTTTTTCCATCCAGGCCCTTTATCAGTTTGGTTGTTCTACAGTGATATTAGCATTATTTTTCTTTAAAAGTATTCTGCAATGGCAAAACTTTCGTTATTCTAATCCAGGAAGGAAGAAAACATGTTTTGTACGATTCCACTTCAACAGTATTCTGAAATATATATTTATCTTTAGTTGCAGTCACTCAACTTTTCCTCATTTCAGTATCCAGAAAATAATGAGAGAAGTTGAACTGGGTTTTTGTTGTTTATTTTTCAGTGTTAATCACTACCGCAACCTTGTAAGGGACAAAACTCTATTTTTAGGGCTTCTCCCTGAGCTGGTAGGAATGAATGAAAAGGAAGAGGGAAGGCCTGGCAGCCAAGCTCCAATGGAAAAAAGAAATATTCATAAGGACAAAAGGAATGTTCTGGAACATGCATTTTTCCAGCTCTGAAGTGAGGGCAAAGGAAAGCAGAAAAGTGGTTTTCCAAGGGTGGCCAAAAACCTGAGTCTTTCACTGTTTGCACAAATGATCCACTGGTGTGCTGTTGGCATTGTACAATTGACAGAGCTGCATGTAACAGCAGAAATGTGGTAAAATCATTGTGTTGTAGGACTTAATCTAATTTCACCCATAATACCTTTCCTCTTTCATATAAGCTTATAAGATACCTAAATTGGCTATAATATTTGACTTCTTCACAGCTCTGATAGTTCCATTAATTTTGTAGGTATTTAGGCAAATATATTAAAGCAGGCCCTGTCAGAAGCTTACAGAATCCAACTCAGCAACAGCTTCTGTTGTGTAATGAGCAAACTCTCAGCATTGTTTTAACAGGAAAACTGACACTGAGTAGAGGAATGTCTCATTTACTGCAGGGATATACAAAAGCATACAGGTAGTCCTTGACTTACAACCATTTGTTCAGCGGCCATTCGAAGTTATGGCTGCACTGAACTAAGGGACTTACAACCAGTCCCCCAGGTTATAGCTGTTGCAACACCCCTGCAGTCACATGATCAAAATTTGAGCACTTGGCAGCCTGCCTGCACTTATAACCACAGGGGTGCTTCAACTCCCCCCACTCACCTATCTCCCCCCATCTGTGCCCTTTTGACCGCCTGCACTCCATGGCCCCTGCCACCCTAGCTAACCTTCGCCATCTTCTTGCTCCCACTGCTGAACAAGCGTGCCCGACCTGGCCTTTGTAAGACAGCTGCAGGCCACACAAGGCTTTCTTCCTCAGGTCGTGCATGGTGGTTTCCTCATGACACCTGGGGAAGATGGCCTCACATGGCCAGCAGCTGCCTCGCAAAGGGCCGGGCCAGGCACACCTCATCAGCAGTGGGAGCAAGAAGACAGCAAAAGTCAGCTGGGGCAGCAGAGTGCGGGGCAGCAGGGGCCTTGGAGTGCAGGGTGGCAAGGGTGACTGAGGCTGGGACTGGGCTGAGGCGGCTGTGGCTTTGCAGCACACTGCTGGGCTGGGGGGTGGGCTTCGTGCTGCGAAGGGTTTTGCACTATACTGTGGCTTGGGGGCTTCTTGCAGCCCCAGAGCTGCAGCATTCCAAGAAGCCCCTTTGCACTGTGCTGCCAGGCTGGGGCTGGCCTCGTGCTGCACTGCAGTTCAGGGGCTTCTTGCAACCTAAGAAGTGCACCAAGAAGCCCCTGAACTGCAGTGTGGCAAGCAGCCCCAGAGCTGTGTGATTCTAGGGCTGCTTCCTACCCCACAAGGCAGGGTGCAGGGCGGCCAAAAGGGCAGAAGTGGGGGGGATAGGCAGTTGAAGGGAGTTGTAGGTGAGGCAGTCCCTTACCTTGGAAGAACCAAGGCTCGGGGCTGAGAAGGACCAAGCCCAGAATGGCTTGGATTGGGGTGGTCCTTGGCTGACGACTGGTGGAATTCGGTTAACGACAGCAACAGGGAGTGCCAGGATTGCCGTCACTAAGCGATGTGGTCATGTGATGTCACGCTTTATGACCACATTGCTTAGTGATGGAAATTTTGTTCCCAACTGTGGTCATAAGACTACATGTATTTGTGTATCTCCTTGACAGGGCCCTTATTATTGGAAGTCCATCTATATACCAATGTG